GCTTCCCCTACTCCACTTCCATCCTTTCTCCTGACCACCTATCCTGGAGACTTCAGGCTCCAGTGCCAGACAGACACAGTAGTTTCACATAAACTGTGTAACCAGCTCCGACAATAGCATAAAATCAGATCTCTTCAATAAGTAAATATCTTTTTTCATAATTAAATCAGCTATAGATATTATCTGTGTATCTATCAATCCATCCCTGAATCCCTCTGTCCACCTATTCATCCTGGTTGATCTTCTGCAATCAAACCCTGGATGACACAGTCACATTCCAGGAATTGCCCTTAGCTGAAGGGAGCCTCTAAGCCAGGGGTGGGCAAACTTTTTGACTTGAGGGCCACAATGGGTTCTTAAACTGGACCGGAGGGCTGGAACAAAAGCATGGATGGAGTGTTTGTGTGAACTAATATAAATTCAAAGTAAACATCATTACATAAAAGGGTATGGTCTTTTTTTTTTAAGTTTTATTCATTTCAAACAGGCCGGATCCGGCCCGCGGGCCGTAGTTTGCCCACGGCTGCCTAAGCCCAAGGTGACACCCTCTCGCCACACCCAATGACTAGTTCTCATGGGGATTTAAAGGCCCAGCCCTTTTGCTTCCAGGTGGGTCAACTCTAAAGGGGCCTTTAGTCCTAGAGCTCACTACAGGGTTGGCTGAGCTCCATTACCACTGTGTCATAGTCCAGTGTCTCCCTCTGCCTGATCTTGCTTTCTTTACTGCCTGCTCCACTTGCTCCCCACTGCAAGGGCTGATCCCCAAGGCACTCCCCCAAGATTTCCTGCATGCCAGCTCTGTCCCAGAGTCTGATTTCCTGGGGAGCCCAACTGAGACATGCTTCATTCAGTACCATTGCTCTCAGTTTAACAAATTTTTATTTAGCAGGTACTTGGGGCCAGGCACTGTGCTAGGCATTGAGGATATAAAAATGAATTAAGACTTAGTTGCTGCTCCAAAGGAACACATATCTAATGTCACAGGCAGAGCGGTAAGCAGATAATTCCAAGATATAGGCATGTCTAGGAAGCTACAAGGCAGCACATGACCCCTACAGTTCTAGAAGGGCTTCCTGGTGCACCTGAACTGATCTTGAAGGATGAGTAAAAGTTAGCCAGGGGAAGAGGGAAGAGTGCTCCAGACGGAGACAATGGAGGCACAAAGACATGGGGTCCTACTATTAGAAGTGTGAATGGCTGTGGTGATATGTCAGGAAAGGAGAAGTCTGGCCAAGGAACTTGAACTTTATTTTATGGGCAGTGGAGAACCATTGAAAGAATGTTAGCAGATGAGAGATGTGGTCACATTTGTATTTCAGATACATCTCTAAGGGGAGACTGTCAAGGGAGTCAGGTGGATGTGGTGGGTTCACACATCTATTCCAACCTTCCCGCATAGTCTTCCTATACTGCAGTTCTCAGGGAGAAAGCTAAAGCTACACCTCTAAGACCCCACGGCAGCTATGCTCTGCTTTTATCAATCAGACGTGTTTACCCAAGATTTGGAAGGTGGAAATGAGGCAGAGGGCTGGCCTCTGCTAGTTGTGTGGCCAGGTCCCTCATGGAGCTGCTGGGGTTTCCTGCAGTGGTTTCACGACCAAGGTTGTTTCTAATCACAGCTGTTTGCTAATTGTCCTGTTTGCCCGGTCATGCTGGCATCCCGATCATGGCAGTGGAGGCATGGTTCTGGAGCTGGCAGCTGAAGCACAGCCTCTATATTTGGCAAGCAGCTTCTTGATTGTAAAAGAGGCAGTAATTCCCTTGGTATCCAGGTTCTGCAGTATGGCTCTCAAAGCCATTTTCAGAAGCTCAACCTGTTTCTTCAGCTTCTCCAACAATTCTATAAGCCATTTAATGCCCTCTATCTAACAAATCACCTTCTGCCCAAACTGGATAGAGTGGATTTTGTTCTCTGCACCTGCACCCTGATCAATACCAGTGCAAGACTTAAGGCAGGGAGACTTGTCACAGAACTGTCATAAGGTCCAGGCTGATGATAAAGGCAGTGGTGGGGACAGAGAGGAAGGGACACATTACAGAAGCATTTGGGAGGTAAAAGTAACAGCACTTGGTGATTAATTGGGTAGGAAGTGTGAAAGAAACAGTTGCTAAAATAACTTAGTTTTCTGACTTGGGGGGTTGGTTAGAGAGAAGTGCAGGTAAGTAAGATCAGGACTTTTGGAGAGAAGGGAGTTTGGGGGTAGAAGGCAAAAAATGATGAATTCAGGTGCTTATGGGGTATTCAAGCAATTTTTCTCCTTTTTTATAATTAAATCAGCTATAAATGCACACATAATTGCATAATTATTTAATATCTATTTTTTCCCTGATTCTGTGAACTCCAGGAGAGTAGGTACGACATCTTGTTCAGACATGGCACAGTCTGGCACAGAGTAGGTGCTTGATAGATGTTTTTTGAATGTTAGATAATAATTTTGAATTGAAGGTTGGATAATAGAAATTGTAATGATCATAGCACTACCAAGATGAGCAGGCTCAGCTACTGTTCCATGAATAGCAGCTCGACACTCAGCAAAATTATTTGATGATGGTGATGATGATGATGATGATGATGACGACGATGTGATTTTGCCTGGGAACATTTCTTTGGTTAGAAATTCCAGCCAGAGGTCTAGAATTTCATCAGCATTCCCCCAAACCCAGAAAAATAGGTCAGATTATCCTACTTCAATCAAATTATACTTCTGTTACATATTCATTAAGTGTCGATCGTGTAGTAGGCCTATTAGAAGGTTTTCCCAGGTGCTTTGCAAATGGAAAGGCTTCTGTCGATCTGTCATATACTAAATGCAATTGCCAACTCTTGTAAATGAACGCCAAAGTTGACTCCAGCAACTCAGAGTAAAGCATGCCCGCAGCCAGACCGATTTTCTGCAGCTGCTCACAGGATACAGCAGCAACCTGACCATTATCTGCAACGTGGTCATTAAGCCAGGCTGTGCCTGGGGCAGGACTTTCCCTGCCTGTTTTGCTCACTCACTACTGTACTGTGGGTTTGCTGTGCAGACAGTGCCTTCTTCTACACGGGTGCTTTAGAGGGTGTTCACTGATCCATCAGGATCGATGATCCTTTTTAAAACAAACACCTCTTATGCCCTCTTACCTTCCTGAAGTGAACTTCATAGGAAATACAACCTACATGCACACATACTTTCAAACAAATTACTCTTGTCTAACAGTATCTTGGTACTCAGAAAATTTGTTTGATGATGAGGAAGGTGGACACAATAAAAATGACATGTATCTCAACATACAAATGGCTGCACTACTAGGCATGATAAAGTGCTCAGACGCTTGCACCCACATAAAATCCCCATGAACGCACCAGTCACAAGTATAGACTGAGGCACATTACACTGGTGACTCAAAACTATGAGAGGTGTTGCTGTCAGTGATGTGTTCACCAAAACACCCAATGGTCCTTTGTAAAGCACCAAACAAAATAAAGTCTTCCCTTGACTTACACAGTGGTCACAGTCTTTTAAATTAAGTGTATGTTAAACTGTAAACAAAATAAGTGCACCCCCAGACCCCCAAAACTGTGTGATGGTTCTAGGTTCAGATAATAAAAAACAGGTTTTCACCTATGTAATTGTCCAGCAGGACAAGGTTGGGTGAGATGTAGATAATTTCTTATTGTCAGAGTGGTTCTTGGCAATGTTCCACTAAATGCCAGTAGGATCACCCAATCACTGTGACTCCCTAGAAAACTGCTCTCCAGTTTCCAAATGCCCCTGAGGTAGCATCAACCCATATTCCAGCATGAGCTCCCCTGTCAGACCACTCGGTTGAGCAAACTGCCCACTTGAAAGAATATGGAGCATGGGGTGGGAAGTTCAGGTTTGGGAGGACAATAGGAAACTGGAGCCCATGCACAAGGGTTAGCATGATTAGAATTTACTTAGCACACATTTTGCAGGGGATTGACCTCTGTTAAACTCAAACAAAAGCAATGGAAACTTGGTTGCTATCATCTCTTCTGGGAGACAGAGTGCAGCGCAGATGACAGAGGGGGCAGAACCTCCTTGACTGTTTGTAGTTCTAGTCCCTATCATATGGTCTAGGGCAGTGGTTCCCAGTATGGGGCACATGCCCCACTGGGGGGCAATTTGATTTTTAAGGGGGGCAATTCGAGAATGAGTTACTAACAGTGAATTTTTTGTATTTCTTATGTTCTAGGGCAGTGGTCAGCAAACTGCGGCTCGCAAGCCACATGCGGCTCTTTGGCCCCTTGAGTGTGGCTCTTCCACAAAATACCGACTTCTGCGCATGGGCCACGAAGTTTCAATCGCACTGTACATGCACGCCCGCACGTGGTATTTTGTGGAAGAGCCACACTCAAGGGGCCAAAGAGCCGCATGTGGCTCGCGGGCCACAGTTTGCTGACCATTGTTCTAGGGGCCTCATACACAGTATGTAGGTATATATTGTGACATATATTTATTCATTTCAGTTCTCTATTATATGTTTTGAAACTTTATTTGCTATTTTTTCATATTATTTTTTAACAATTTCTTAGTGATTTCTTCCTCAGTACTTCAACTATCCCTTTCATTCTTTTAACTTTCTCTTTCATGGATGCCATATTCTTTGGAAGCTTGTTTAAATCAAGTTAATGGCCTTTTAGGCTTCCTCCACATGAGTAGGAGTTCACTTTTTTGATAAGAATTATATGTCACGGGGGGGTCGGGGCATCAGGATTTTAGAGATGCTTATGTAGGGTATGGCACTTGATCTTGGACTTCCTAGCCTCCAGAACTGTGAGATGTAAATGTTGCTTAAGTCACCAGTCTACGATAGTTTTGTTACAGCAGGCCCAGCTGAATAAGATGACCACCCTACTCCAGAAAGATTTGGATAGATACTGTATGTATAAATGAGAACAGAATGCTAAGAAAAAGGAACAATCAGAAACCAAGAAAGAGTGCTCAGACACTTAAAAAAATATATGATTGCGCCGTGGCAGCTCAGCCACCGACATGCCATCCAGACCGAGGAAGACCCAAAAACTTCGGGGCCATGTGAGCTACGGCCATGGCCACGGCCACATTGGCAAGCGCAGGAAGCACCCGGGGGGCCGTGGTAATGCTGGTGGCCTGCATCATCACAGGATCAACTCCGACAAATATCACCCAGGTTACTTTGGGAAAGTTGGTATGAGGCATTACCCCTTAAAGAGGAACCAGAGCTTCTTCCCAGCTGTCAATCTTGATAAACTGTGGACCCTGGTCAGTGAGCAGACACAGGTAAATGCTGCCAAAAGCAAGACTGGAGCTGCTCCTATCACTGATGTGGTGCGATCAGGCTACTACAAGGTTCTGGGGAAGGGAAAGCTCCCAAAGCAGCCTGTCATTGTGAAGGCCACGTTCTTCAGCAGAGGAGCCCAGGAGAAGATTAAGGGTGTTGGTGGGACCTGTCTCCTGGCAGCTTAAAGCTACATGGAGGGAAGTTCATTAAAATGTCCACAAGTACAGATGCCTTCTGGTCTAGGTCCTTTGGCATCTCTACTTCCCTACCTGTACTTCGAAAACCTCCCCATCAGGTTCTAGGAGTTAAGGTATCAAGGCCTGGGGTCCTCTGCAAACTTCCCTGAGGAAGAAAGAGGCCTTTGGACCAATACCTGACTTGAACTTTTCATTTATAAAGTGAGAATGATAACTCTTGGTAACATGTGTGTCGATAGGTATTAAATAGTTGAAAGGTCTGTTTGCATTGTAAAAAATATATATATAACTGCACAATTAAAAGTTTAATAGAAATGATAGAATGTGAAGTTAAGAAAAATCTTCCAGAACATAGAAGAAAAAGAGAATAAGACAGAAAATATGAAGAGAAAAATTCACAGAAGGTCACTTCCAAAGTCCTGGCATCTACTTTTCCGGAGTTTAAAACAGAGAATGATGAAAACACAAAGGTGAAATAATTAAGGAAATAGAACAAAAAGGCTCAGGATTTTCAAAACAAAAGGGCTACCAAATGCCCAGTAAGAATAAAGAAACAATTCTTCTGCTTAGACACACTCATTGTGAAATTTCAGAGCACCAAGCAAGGATCAGAAGATTCTAAGAGGTTCCAAACACAAAAAAATAACTCCCCTATAAAGAAAAAGACTCCAACTGGCATCAGATTTCTAATCCAAAGTCACAGTTGCCAAAATGCAGTAGAATAAAGTCTTTAAAAGTTTTGAGAGCAAATTATTTTAAAACTTGAATTCTATACCAAACTAAACAAACATTTAAATGTGAACACCTGCTAAAATCAGTTTCAGATATTTAACAATGAACGGCGTTTACTTCTATATTTCCTTTCTGAGGGAATTACTTGGGTCCATTCATGTCACAAAACTAAGGGAAAATCCCAGAAAGGGGAAAGTTTTTAATAGAAGAAATAATAGAATTTACCCAGGAAATTCCTGGATGCCAGTTGTCAGTTGACCTAACAAGCAATTAGTCCACATTAAAAGAGAATATCAATGAACTCTACGAAAAACGTTTTCAAGAAGAATGGATTCCAAGAAATATCTAGAATGAGGATAAGCCAAATATTATAAAGAAGGCATATGTTTCTTCTAGACCAACAAGAGGAAAGATCATCAGAAACTCCAGGGGAAATAAAAAGTTGTGCAGATAAATCATAGTCCAAGTAGGAAGTAAACTGAAATGTGGCCCTGTTTTGAGCACGTGGCTGAGTATGAGAAAGAAGACTCTATTTGTTCTTGATGCTGACACATTCTGCTTTGCATGGCCTGGGGTCACAACATTTGGAACCATTGAGAAGAAATGTAATCATGGCGCACTGCTTAGCTCTGCAACAATATTTACATAGCCGTCATGTAAGCACTGTTTTCTGGTTTTCAGTTTTTAGAATCAACCTATAAACAAAGCAGGGGAAATTTAATTGTGGTTACAGAGTAGACAGAATTTGGGAGGTACAGAGGGTAAAGAGGTAGAGGAAAGAGACTTTCTGCTTCTGTCTTCATCTTACTGAATGAGTAGTCAGAGGTATCATTGACTGTTGATGGAACAAGAATTAGAGGTTTGTCTACAGTTACAACAGTAATAGAGAAACCAAAATAGCTAAAACTTTCCAAACTTGGGAGGGAGTGGGGGACAGAAATTAAAACTTTATGTACCCTAGAAATAAGTGGATAGATAATGTCTACTAAGGTTGCTCATCAAGACATAGCAGTGTAAACATACTATTTGGAGATGCAGAAAAAAACCCACAAGCAGAACTAAAAACAGAAGCTGGTTAAAGGCTGTCATCTCTGGGAGGTAGAATGAGGGTAGGGAGAGATGGGTCAGGGCCCTGTTTCTTCTTTTTTTTTTTTTAAATTGATTTTAGAGAGAAGAGGGAGGGAGAGAGGGAGGGAGGGGGGAGCGGGGGGGGGAGAGAGAGAGAGAGAGAGAGAGAGATATGAGAGAAACATTGACTGGTTGCCTCCTATACGCATCCCAACTGGGGATCGAACCCATAACCTAGATATGTGTCCTGAATGGGAATCAAATCTGCCAACTTTTCATTTAGGGATGCTCCAGCCAACTGAGTGAACCACACCAGCCAGAGGGTACTGTTTCTTTACACCACAAAACGTTTTGTACTATTTGATATTTTAACCATGGACATGAATCACTGATAAAATTTGAATTTAAATCCTGGAAACCTATTTCACTACTACTTCATAACAATATTAAAATTGATTACATAATAAATGAAATATTCACAATAAAGTGAGAGACAACAGAGAAGCTCAGAGAGGTTAAGTGATTTATCCCAATGCACACTGGCCTGTGGCCAGTCAGAGGCTGAGCTGAAATTTGAACACAATTCCTCCAGTACCACGTTCAGTGTCTGACTCCCAGGGCCGCAGTGAGGATGGAGCAGATGCAGCCAGAACATGCTTTGTAGCATTGTTTTCAACTATTCTATCTGCTTGTACTTACCAGTTATCTGTGAGTACCTTGTCACTTTCAATCCTGTTTCAGACTTTGATAGGATCTAAATAAAAACATACATAGCCCATGGGACAGATAAATGTGTGCTTTACATATTGGAATATCCTCAGGGACAGTCTCTAAAAAATGAATTGTAAATGCAATCGTATTTCAAAGGAATGAGCGCCACCTCCTATCCGAAGAGATGGTGAAGGCAAACCTTTGGCTGGGGAACAGCCCTTTTGCAGCCCTCAGCTCTGGTGGGTGGAAATTCTCACGTGCCTGCCCTGAAAGTGCATCTCGTTCATCCTGCCCCAGGCTGGTTAAACGGAGCAGCGCTGTCCCCAGGCTTCCCTCCTGCCTCCTCGCTGCTTCTCTAGCGCGCCCTCCTTGGCTTCTTCACCTTTGGGCTCACTCCTGGTACTTTTCAGGCTTATGTTTGTCCACTTGCCTGGCTCAGTGACCTCTCCCCCGACACTTTTCCAGAGCCATTCACTCTTTCAATAAACAGTGACCTATATGCCCATTGAGATGGTCACCCCTGGGGCTCTATGACAAAGATGCCATGTCTGTTTGGGAACTTTAGGTCTAAGTGAGGAATTACCAACCCTGCAAGGGAGTTTCCTTATCTCCACATCCACTTTGGGCAAAGATGGCACTGCTCGACTTTAATCCTGGGCAGGTCCCTACACAGGCAAAATCTCCTCTCCATCCTTAGGTGGTTTTGCTATTAGAGGGGATCATCTTCATCCCAGACCCAGCTTCTTATCTGAATTCATTGCTTCCTGGTTAAGCAAAGATGGGAATATTGAAAACCGCTATTGCCAATAGGGAGCTTGTCACAAAGCCTTAAAGACTATAATCTGGAGACGTAAATAAAATATGTACAGTCATTTACATAGCTAGGAGGCCATTGTAGAAGAAATATATGTTTCCTTCAGGGAGATAACATGTGATCACCTAGCTGAGCCCTGAGAAATAAAATATAGATGGACAATGTCAGGGTTCGGGACTGGGGGTGGGGACTGAAGAGGCCCTTGCCGCCGCCTCTTTCCTGAACATTGAGAGGACTTCAGGTAGTTTTTGAACATTGAGGTTTTATCTCCATCAGACTGGCCTGGAGGCAAGTAAACTTTGCCAGGGGGTCGGGAGGTGGCCTGTACTTCTGGCCAAGTGACCTATTTGTCATCAGCTGATGGGTATGTTGGCCTCTGGGGAGGAGGGAGCTGACCTGGCCTTCACTGAATGTTGATATGAACCTTGACTTGGAAGCCAACTGTTTATAAGATCTCTCCTGTGGAGCCCTCCAAGCTACCTTTAGAACCAGTGGGAGACAAAGGATATTCTGCTTAAGTGTTCCCCAGGCCCTTGGAGGCTGCAAAATTTTCAGGATGCCCAATGTCTATGTATATATTCATGTACAAAGCATTCATGGATTCTGGCTGTCTTAGACCTATACAAACTGCCACTTCCACATGCATATGGATGCTGTTGTGATTACAAAAACACATCATGTTACAACATTACTCAATTGACAATAACTTTTTATTATTATGGATATCTCAAAGGACATTAATAATATGACTATGGGCCTTTTCTGGGCTCCCCCATTCCCCAATTAGGTTTCCATGTTATACCCATAGAGCTCTGTTTTCCTTCAGAGCACATAATGCAATTTTTAAGTATATTTCTTTCTATTTGCATGGTTACTTATTTCATCTGTCTCTCCCATTAGGCTATAAGCTTCATGAGGGTGAGAAATGCTTTTGTTTTGCTCACATGCATTCCCAGCCACTACTAGAATGCCTGGAACATAGTAAGTGCTCAGTAAACATCTGCTAAGCAAACTTATGAGATGGTGTGCCTGGAGAAGGGTGTCCAAGAAATTTTTTTATGGTTAAAAGTTTGGAAAACAATGGACTGGTCATTTTACAAATATAACCAGACCCAGAAGATGCAAGAGACTTACCAAAGAGACATGTTAGTTCATTGCAAATATGGAGGCATTTCCAGCCCAGTGGTCTTTCCAGCATTGTTATCAATTTCTAATAGTGCTTATAAGCCTGTTTATAAGTAATATGGTGCTGGGCATGATTCATAGAAGACCAACTAGGGGCTCAGTCTCTGAGGTGATTACAATTTAAAAGCAGGTCCAGTGGCTATTTTGTGTAGCATCTTTTATATGACACTTTCTCAGAATGATTTACTGTAAACCATATCCTTTGCCCTCTGGAATGAATAATGGCATCAATCACAAAAACTGGATTGCTAAGAAGAGAGGAACCCATTTTTTTTGCAGCCCACTGCCCACTCTATTTGCTTCTGAGTCCCTTCTTGAAGCTGAAATTAGACTGTACTATTTATGGAATGCCAACCACTAGAGAGAACTATTCTAGGTGTTGTGGGGAAATACACAGGACTTAACAGGTGGGTACCATTTCATAGCTAAAAACAAGCAAATCTTCATTTATTTTCTTTTGTAGCTAGGGTTCTTTCTC